AAAAAAAAAAAAAAAAAAAGATTATTTGAAAAAGAGAAAGACCATCATCCTCTTAAGAAACTGGGCTATCTGAATAATGCAGTGGCAAAGGCATAGCACTGGGGTCAGAGGACCAGATTTCCTGTCCTGTGGCATTTAAATTCCCTGTGTGATCCTGAGCTAACCACTGTGGCTCAGTCTTCTCATCTGTAAATTGAGGATAAAATTCCCTGTGCTCCCCATTAAGGAGCTGTTAAGAGAGAATCAAACGAAACAAAGTAAAAGTAGATGAAAAAGTACTGTTTAAAAAATTATGTACTATCTCCATAACACTGCAAATACCCCATTATTTTAGATTTTATTATGCTTACCAAAGTAAAATTAATGATTACTGGTAAATTATCTGTCTCCGAGATTTACTTTAACTTGAAACACTTGGATTAGGGACCAGAATAGAAACAGACTCAAAGGGTAATTCTATAATCTGCCAGATAAATGAAAAGCAGTGTGCTTATTATCTATTAAAGACAAGATTTCTTTCCCATGAGAACAGATTATGTCTTCTAGAAATTATGTGTATGGTTATCCTTGCATGCCTGTACATCAATTAAAAAAAACAAACACACTTACTTTCACAGTCAAATCCTCGTTACCCAGTGTGACGTGAACTTGAATAGCGGGGTAAACACCTCTGTCGGCATGGTGTTCCATAGTCGCTCTCATTGCATTCTGAAACAGGGTCATATCAAAAACACGACTTTCGAAAAAAAGGGAAACTATAACTGTCAAGTACATATACACTATTTAAGGTTTTAAATTCAATGGAAATATGCCAAAGAATCATTCTTATAATGATATTTAAAGAGTCACTTTTTTAAAAAAATTGAGTCAATTTATCAGGGAATTTGAGGGATATTTTAATTTAAAGATTCCACCTAAATTCTACGTATTTTCTAAAATCAAACCTCTAAACACTTTTAACCAGTTTACAATAAAGCAGAAAATTTTGTCCAAACATTTTATAATTGTAGTAAATAACAGGAAAAATTTATTTTTGAAAATGGAGTTTCAGCTCTATTTTTAGAATCATTTTAATTGTCATGAATTTAAGAGAAAATAATTTTTTTCATATGTTATTAACAACAAGAGCCTTATTATGATGGAGAAACAAATCCCTTCATCTCTAGTTTGAAACTAAGGATATTTACATTGTAAAACTGATCAATTTCTAAAGAAAACAGGGTACAGAATGCCAATATATTGTGAGCATTAAAGAAAAACATGACATGTAGCATTGGAGTAGAAACTGATAGACTAGATCTAACTAAAAGGGCAAAAGATGGGACTGAATTTGGAAATAAGGGTGTGTGGCCCTGGCACGCCAATCAACCAATCAGAAATGAGTAGCCTGAGCAGATTCCACCATCTCTACCAAAGGCAGTTTAAATGTTAGGTGAAAGCCATTATTGACATTATGTAAAATATGTTATATAATATGGAATACTTCTATAATAGGGCATAAGATCTTTTTTTTTTTTTTTTTTTTTTGAGACAGAGTCTCACTGTGCTGCCCGGGCTAGAGTGCCGTGGCGTCAGCCTAGCTCACAGCAACCTCAAACTCCTGGGCTCAAGCGATCCTCCTGCCTCAGCCTCCCGAGTAGCTGGGACTATAGGCATGTGCCACCATGCCCGGCTAATTTTTTCTATATATTTTTAGTTGTCCGATTAATTTCTTTCTATTTTTAGTAGAGATGGGGTCTCGCTCTTGCTCAGGCTGGTTTTGAACTCCTGAGCTCAAACAATCCGCCCGCCTCGGCCTCCCAAAGTGCTAGGATTACAGGCGTGAGCCATCGCGCCCGGCCCAGGGCATAAGATCTTTATGTGACTGAAATTTCAGGGGGAAAAAAAAATTAGTTTTAAGTGCCAATCACTATTCACTTAACCACTGTGATAGAAAGACTTTTGTAAGGTATTAGTTACATTCTTGCTATCATAGAACAAAAGAGCATTCTGGTGCTGTTCGGAGATATTCAGTCGGTTTCCTTGTGTTTCAGCGTATTTCTCTTTTACATTATCAAACTGAAAGCCACCTCTAGTCTCTTCCAGTTTGCTGCTAGCTGAAGACACGGTAACCAAAGTACAAAAGACTATAGGCCTCTGACGTACGGAAGTCATTTTTAGCTAGAGGGACCCATGCCACTCCTCACCCATTTTACTGTCAATTGGCAAGTGTCACTGGGTAGAAAAAAGGTACTCTCAATATTACCAGCATTAATTTTTTTTTTACCTTCTCAACCCAGCTTTTCTCCACTCTGGAAAAACCAGGAGGAGAAGGTCTCATAATTTTATTTAGTTTTCAAAATTTGTTGTAAACAGTAAATATAACAGCAGAAGTCCTGTAAGTCCATATAAATGATTTTCTCAAAATAAAAAAAAGCAGGTTTATCAACAGGACTTTGGTCCTTTGATGGTGGAAAGCTAAGAATCACTCTTCTAAACATTTTGTTTTATAAAAATATAAATATAACTTTACTGAGCACCTATAATATGCTGTCCTTGTGTTGGACACTTAGTATGTTATTCACAGTCTTCATATATAATCCTGGGTAGACCAGGCTGGGCAACATAGTGAGATCTCATCACTACAAAACAATAAAAAAACTAGCCAGCCATCGCAGTAACTGCCTGTAGTCCCAGCTACTCAGGAGGGTGAAGGGGAAGAGTTATTATTGAGTATTATGAGTAGTATTATCCTTGTTTTACAGAAGAGGAAACTGAGACTCAGAGAGGCTGAGTGACTTGGCCAAGGTCACACACATATTAAGTGACAGTCCTGGGATTCAAACCCATGTCTTTCTGACTCCAAAGTCTGAGCTCACTACTATATGGAGGTGCCTGTCCCTGTTGACAAAAGGCTGATCTCTTGCAATGTGACATGACAGTGACATGAAATGGCATCTTGTAATGAAACAGGAGAACCCAGTGGAATATTCGACTTTCAGAGCAGATTCCTAACCTCAGGAAAGGACCAGTAAAGGTTATGTAATACTATTTTACAAACCTTGAAAAGTTCAAACACCATGTGATAGAGATGGGATGGTACATAAACCACTTGTATTGGCTGTCCTGGTGATTTTGCTACAGAGCAGAAGAGAAAAATATGAAAGTACAGAGAGATGTGCTTAAAGCATTTTTAAGAATTATGTAGTGATGAAAAGAAAACATTAACTAGGAGGACAGTATTATTTGGGAGAGAACTGCCACATAACTTCTTCACTGTCTTAGTGTTTGAACCCCATACTCACAAACATTCATAACTGACAATGACAAGAGTCCTGTGGTCATTTCTCACAATCCTGCATAGCTATTTAACCAACCCATGCTCCCATTCTTCCCTAGGATGTAAGTCTTTTTAAAGACCACTCAGCCTTCAGGTAGGAATTTTATTCTCCCAAGAGTATTAAAGTCTATAAATTCCATAGTCCAATTCACACAAATACACTCTTTTTTTTTTTTTAAGAAGCCATTTTCTGAATGCTTCACCTGGGTGGAATATTGTCTGTTTTGTTTCAGGCATTTCTATGGATACAGAGCTGAATAAAAAAATTTGAGCTACCATCAGTTTCTCAAGGGATATTAATTCTACTTTCGAACATTTAATAGGAGCCCAGTTGGGGGCAGAGGTAAATGTGTAAAACAGACCTTTAGCAGAGCAAAAGAGTAAGACTCAGCATAGCTTAGAATTCTAATTCAATCAATAAATAAGACTCTCCTCTGAATAAGCTCCCCCTTGGGAACGTGAATGGGAAATCTGGAAGCTGCCCACAGCAGTTCAGGTTCCCAAACTATCATTTGCACACGGTAATTCTCATTTACTGAATGGTACCATCCCGGATCAAAGAGTTAATACAGCTTTAGAAACTGTCAAGCAATTCTATTTTCAGCTGGGCAACTTCTTCACTGCTTTCCCACTCTAAGATCCAGAATATGGCTTAGTAAAAGCCTATTTAATTTTATTCTTCCCACCACCTTCTTAAAGTGTTATCTTAACATAGGGAATGTTTTTTCCTCTGTTTTTCCTCAAACTAACAATGCCTCTAGGAAAAAGACTCATCAATCTCCTTTCAAGGCATCTAAATCTTTTTTGTCCAAAAGGCATCAGTCAGGGTGAAAAAGAGAACATCGGGGACAAACAGATTCTCAAATAGATGAGCATCTTTCTTTCTTCTCTTACAACCCCAGTCTTTTTCCTTCCTCAACAATAAAAATGATTTACAACTCAGGAAGTAGAAAAACGGCAAACCTTACATTACTGAAATACATATAAAAGTCAAATGTAATTTTCTTGGTATCATTTTTTTCTATGACTAGCCAGAAAGTAAAAAATAAGCAAAGAATCAAAGTTATCAATTAAAAATGAGGAAAATGGGGCAGAAAACGCCAAAATGCTTTTCGTAAATAATTCAACTAAATTTCATACATATTTACATGTATATATATTTTACTTGATTGCTGTCCTTCAGCCTTCATATACAATGAAGTTGATGAAAAAGTCCTTTTCTATTAAAGCAAAATTCTTATCATTCCTTCTCAGGTAATCAGAACACTAACCATTGAGGAAAAGACAACTTCAGGCTTACCATTTAGTTCTCCAAGTTCTAGTTCAGGAGAGTTAATATAATACAAATCACAAAGACGCCTAGCATTTTCATAGCCATCTAGTGTGAATCAAGACAAAAAGAAGCATTAAATAAATTTACTTCTGTCTCATGCATTAAGATAGCAATAGTACTGACAAATGAAAATGTAAAACTTTCTACAGAAGAAAATATACTTCAATAATCTTAGTTTAGAGAAAGTCTAAGTGTGACATGACAAAGTCTAATAGCCACAAAGAAAGAATGACAGCTATAACTACAAAAAAATTTAAAAGTCTATATGCTGAAAGACATCATAAGCAAAGTAAAAGGAAAAATAACAGGCTGAAGAAAATAATTACTATATGTAATAAAAACTTAGAATTGGTGAGGGTTTAGGAAACAGGTACTCTTATCCATTATTTGATAACTTTTTGGAAGTATCAAAATTTTAAATGCATTTAAATGTTTTTAATTCTAGGAATCCTGCCTTCTAAAATACTAGCAAAAGTCAGCATGTATCTAAAGATGTTCACTACAGTATTGCTAGTAATAGAAAAACATGAAAACAATCTAAGTGTACAACAGGAAGATGGATTAATACATACTGATACAGTCCATATAGTCATTCAAAAACTTGAGGTGTATCCATAAGTATTAACATGGTAAGGTATCTGTAAACTTCTAGAAAAAATATACAAAGCAACTTATTTTCCAAAAACGATGTTAGACCAACAACAATTGTGTATAAGTACAATTTGGCATAGGTAAACCAAATTGTTATGAATTATTGCTCCTAGTATAAGGAATTAGCAGGGGGTGGTGGGGTGGGTTAGGACTTGAATTTTTTTTAAGTGAAAGTCTCTACGGTATCATCAACAAAATATTCATCCTATACGTAATGCACAATTAATGTTATAAAGTTATTTTCAAACCCATTTATGTTAACATTTTATTTCATGATACAAACAGTTGTTTTAATAGCAAGAAATAACACTCAATGATTTTGATTTTTGTATCTTTTTTGAAAGGAGAAAATGTAAGTATTTACCTTTAATAACTTCAATTACATTGCAGTTTGGATTTATGCTTCCAATGTGTTTTTGATGAGAGGGACTTCCTTTGCCTTTTCCACCAAATAATAAAGCTATCAAAAAAGAAAAAACAAACAAAATAAGCTAAACTACCTAATTCTCTTTTCCAAATTTGAATACTGTTTCTCTAAATGGTACCAAATAATAGCAAATATTTTCCTTAAAGATAAACATTACATAAACATTCAATTATATTTTATATTCAGTAAAAATACCTTCTTTGTATGGCACTGTATTTACTTTTCTTTTTTTTTTTTAATTTTTTTAAATTTCAGTATATTACAGGGGTACAAATATTTAGGTATCTATTTACTTTTCTTAATAAGCAAAAAAGTAAACCTAAATGTTCTGCCCAAAGGGAAGTTTTCTAAATAAATTTAAAATACACCAGTACATTTTATTTAGCTTCTCTTTATGCAGGACACTTACAGTGCTGATTGAGTAACATTCTAATTGAAATGCGACTCATGTAGAATCGATCCAAAAAGTACTGAACATTCTGGCTGGTGACGGGATCCACCCCGAAGTTCTCCTTGTATTCAATCACACCCTGAGCCATTGTGGGAATGACATCATTGTGTCGGTTCCTGATCCGTATCACGGTATCTGTAAAGCTAAACAAACCCGCCTGTCAAAACAGCCAAATATTTTGACAAGTAAATTTAACACTAAAATTTAAGTTTAACCAACTATAGTAGGCAACAAATTCCTAATTTAGTAAAAGGAATATCAGTGCATGTTTTCCTATATTTATTTACATATATTTCAGATAATAATGTATACTGAATCCATGAAGGTATAAGGACCTCCAAAACAAAACTTGAAATTTAATTTTTTCTTGGATTTCTAAGAGTAAAGCTGCCACAAAACATAATGATAAAAATGTTAAAGGTTTTCTTTAGCTGTTATCAACTAAGGTCACCTGAGCACTCACTATGAGGATGGTATTACCGGAACTTTCTGCTAAGAGAAGACTGAGCACTTGCTTCTAGGGAACACATGCTCTGTAAGGAATCAAGATGAATAAGCCAATAAAGCCTGTCTGTTTTGGAACTATCCCCTAGGGTTCAAAGACAGAAAGAACCACTTAGAACAGAAAAATAGAAAAGAATTCTAATTTCATTCATCCTATGAGTTTACAAAATAGAAGACAAAAAGTAGACTGTTACATTAAGAGACAAAATTTCAAATCATCCAGTCTTTCCATTTCTGTCACTTATAAGACATTGCATGAGTAATATAAAGAACTAAATAAAAGAAGAAAGAAGTCTTAATTATGAAATAACAAAACCAATCTTCTAACATACCCATCAGAATTTATACTTCCAAATGAGTGCTTTCCCATTCAAAGTCATCATCTTGAGTACTATTAACTTATTCCAATGATGTTTCCACTGCTCAAAACATTTTTGGAATTCCTAGTTTGTAATTAGCTTCAAAGCCAAACTGTTAAACCAAAATAAAAACAACAAAACTCTTCAAAAACAACAAACAACTCATTATTCTAGTTATCTATTTATTCATTTATCTTATCTCTCTTTTCTCTTAAAAAAAATAAAAACAAAAAACTGGTCCAAGCTAGGTGGCTCACACCTGTAATCTCAGCACTTTGGGAGGCTGAGGCAGGAGGATCCCTTGAAGCCAAGAGTTTAAGACCAACCTGGACAACAAAGCGAGACCTTTGTCTCCACAAAAAATTAGCCAGGCATGTGGCTTATGCCTGTCGTGTCAGCCACTCGAGAGGCTGAGATGGAAGGATCACTTGAGCCCAGGAGTTCAAGGCTGCAGTGAGCTATGTTGCACTGGACTCCAGCCTGGATGTCAGAGCAAGATCCTGTCTCTTAAAAAAAAAAAACAAAAAAAACCCTGTATCATTGTGCCTGACTTCTTATTTTCCGGAATCAGCTCTGAATTACTAACTGTTTTCAGACAGTTCCATAGCATAATGTTAACTTTTAAGTAAGACAGCTTGGGTCCAAATCCCTGTCCTACCACTTTTTGTGAGCTATATAACCTTAAGTTACTCATCCTCTTTGTGCACAAACATTATCTCAACATGTGGTTTTAAGGATCAAATAAAACCTTTCAAGTAAAGTTTGCTCAATACCTAGGAACAAAGTAAGCTCTTAATGAACATTATCTTTAGATCAAAATCATGTTTAAAAAATAATGTGCTACCAACCCCTTTAAAGATAGTCCAGAAAAATGTGTAACAGACTCTGAGGATAAGAGGTGGTCATTACGTTGTGAGTAGCGTTCACTGGAATAAGCAAGTAACTGCCTGACTAAGGTGACTACTTGGGTTTACTGATTCTGATGCTGGTTATTAAATCAGTCATATTACTTACATTATTTTACAGACCACAGCTCAAAAACTAGAGAGCCACAATCATGTTTTTATAGGCCTTCTGTGTCTTAATATTTTTTTAATTAGTTGCCAATATTTCAAAATTGGGAGATTTTACATTGAAAATCTAAACTTAGAGCTTTTCTTTAAAATCAGAAAAAAATCAAATGATCTGCACAGCATTCTCACACGGCAACAATCAGCTGAGCTGAGGGTGGCTGTCCTTTGGGAGTATGTACTCCCCAGGTTAACAGTCCAAGTGGCACTGAGGCCACATCTAGACTTTCACTGATCATCACACTTGAACTCCATCTTTTGTTACATACAGAGGAACATCAAGCATTTCTTACGCCCAGTCCAATTTACCAATTTACGTTATTTGCCTTGCCTGTATGGGCTGCTATACATGTATCTACTATCATATGTTCCAAAGCAGTGGGAACCTAAATGTTAATCAATTTCCCTAAAGGGACCCACCAGCAGATTTAAGCTGAAGACATTTACATTTTTTATATAATGTTTAAAGGACACAAAAATTGCACTCAAGGTCAAAACCATGGACTTACTCATAAACTGCTTTAGCATCCTCAGCACTTTTGTCCTTAAAATCAAGAAGCTCCTGAAGACTCTGGATATACCTAAAATGCAAATCAATAGGAGAAGTTTGTTCTTTACATTCTAAAGGTTTAGTGTTGTGAAAATTAGCTCAAAAGCTATTTTTAACATTTTATAATTTTTAATTTAGAGTACTGCTACAAATTATGGTTGAAGTAGGAATTTTATACCCATTCACGTTCGCGCGAATTGCTGGGAACAAAGTATTAGAAGGTGCGTATTTTCTCCCCAAAGCTCAGGTCAAATTTGGTTTAAGAATTTAAAATTTCCTACTCTTTTTTTAGTTCTATCCCCTAAAATAGTTTTTAAATTTATAGTACAAATACTGATTATCATTAAGGACTGAATCTGTTACCGATAACTATGTGATCTTGGGATAAATGACTTAGTAAAGTGAGGCCAGCCTATCTTGCTTTAAGGATCTAACTTAAATGCCTACGCTTTAAAACCTTAATTTTAGCTGCTTATGTCCAGTCAACAAATATAGATCAAAAGCCTGCAATCTATCACACAGTTCTTTTGAGCAGACCTGAATAAAAAACACAAAAGTCATGAACATGTAGGTTTTTAGTTGATTTAACAATTAAAGGTGGCAAAGCACCTGTTAAGTAACGAGCAAAATGAGGAAGGCCAAATGATTTTCTCGTGGTTGTGCAGCCAAGTACAATGGCACTGCAGGGCCAGAGCTAAAAATACCTTGCTACCATCCAATTACTTTCTTTAACAGTGGAAGGTCCGCTTGGCTTGTCTGTAAGTACTTTATCTACAACGGCCCTAACTTAGCAGGCATCCAGGAGCAATGAAAGTGTTTTAAAAACCTGTAAATCCATGTTGGTTTGGAAAGCTGTTCCTGACAAGCAATATGTCTCACTGCATTCGAAAGTCAAGTGCTTCTGATAACTGCTGTTTTGCTTTGATCCTTAATTTTCTTTTCATTGGCAAGAAAAACTATGCTCTTTATTCAAGAGATATTTGACTAACCTGAGCACCACAGCAAGACCCCATCTCTAAAAAAATTTAAAAATTAGCCGGATGTGGTGGCACACGCCTACAGTCCCAGCTACTTGGGAGACTAAGGCAGGAGGATGGCTTACAGCCCAGGAGTTGGAGGTTGCAGAGAGCTATGATTCCACCACTGCACTCTAGCCTGGGAGACAGAGCAAGACTGTGTCTCAAAAAAAAAAAAAAAAGAGAGATTTGAGTATCTATAACATGCTAGGCACAGATCAGATTTCAAAAAGCAGAATATTCTATTTTTTAATGAAGAATCTTTAAAAACAGGAAAAAGCTTCCATAGAATATTATATTTTCTCCTTTGGATTCTATCATAATTCCTAAACAAATGCCTCCCACTTAAATGACATAGCTATTCCACACTTAGACTAGTTAGCATCTGATTATCATATAAGTAGCAGTCATACTTCTTTCACTTATTTTTTTAATTGAGGTTAGATCAGCTTCTCTCTCAAACTATAATGCCTACAAAAGGAAAACTAGAATCTCCCACGAATTGCAACTGGGAAACATCTTGCAACTGATTTTTTTCCATTTAAGACTTAATTCTGAGCAACTCTTCTGTTTGAAATTTGCAGTGCTTAAGAGAATAACGCTTTTAAATTAATACCATTAACAACAAAGGCTTATAGAGGTGGCCACAAATGAGTGCATACCCTGAACACCTCAACTCATTTTTGGGGAGATCAGTTTCTACATGATTCCAATAACTTCTAATTGTTTTAAAACAGAAGAATAAAAGTTTTAACTTTTGTGGTTTATAAAAAGATGTACTTCAATAAAATAAATTCAGTTTATTAAAAATATATATACCCTTTAATGCATTTCATCATTCAGACAAATCTGGATTTGAATCTCAGCTACACTATCAGTGGTATCGTCTTAGGCAAAGGACTTAACCTTTATGTCCCTCAGCTTCCTCATCTGTAAAATGGAGAAAAAACCTACTGTGCAGGGTTGTTGAAGGAATTAAAGGTAATATACATAATATCTAGCAACCAACAAATGGTAGATATTTTTCTTATAACATAGGATCCCTGCAGATTCAATGACACAAATCTTAAATCTGGTATTTTAGTGCAGTTCTGAAGTTCTGATTGGTTTTCTCAAAATCAAGGAGTGGTAGAGTCAAGGATTTAGGTACAAGCCCAGACACACCAAAAAAGGAAAAATTCAAAAAAAAAAGAGGAGGAATACTGCTGCTACCTTAAGATTTCACTGAAGAGTAAAAAAGCATTTGCTTTAATCTTGAGTAAAGTCCATGACTCCACGGAAATTGCAAACCAAAGATGGGAATCTTACCAGCTTTGTACCAACTGAACGGATGGTGTCCTGAGCAGATTATCTGGGAGGAGACTTATTTCTTTCATTATATTTGCCAATCTAACAGGCAACTCTTGCCGCAGAAACAAAAATGAGGTCTTTTCACAAGCATTCACCGATCCTGAAACCAAACACAGCAAGGAAAGCAGTAAGTAGAAGCCATAAGGCAACAGAAGCCAGGAGGCAGGGAGAAACAGGGAGTTAGCTGGCAAGGCCAGAGTGGTACAATCACCCTAAAAGCGCAGGGAATAGGAGGCAAAGATACCCATGCCAGAGGGAGGAAAGGATGAGATAACCCAGTCTTGAGTTATAAACATCCAGAATGACCTTCCAATGGCGATGTGCAACAATTAAGATACTTTCCTGTCTCCCTTACCTGCATTCTCACAGTGATGACCCATCTTAGAACTAAGGTACCTGTGCATGTCTGAGCAATGCTCAGAGTCTAATTAATAGTAGAACCTGGAAAAACCTATCCTGCATACCTTGTTGCTGTTATCATGTAGAAAATCTGTTTCCTAACTTCAGGTTTAAAAAGAGTGAATACCTGTCTAAGAAACAGGGAAATTTTAGGCTGGTCCAACAAGTGCAGTGGTGTTTACAACTAATTGATTACAAACAGTTACAAATTTCTTTGTTCCTTCTCCACTCCCACTGCTTCACTTGTTTACCCTTAAAAAATACATAGATTTAAAAGATGAAACAGGGAAATTTTGACACGTGCATGAGAAGATCCACTGATTCTATATAGAACCACTAACACTAATTACCATAAGCAAAGAGTAAGTGCAGTGGAGGGCTTTCAGGCAACAGAGAGCAAAATCACCAATGCCTGTTAAGCAACCATCTTCAGGTAGGTCCTATTCAATCATCTGATTCCTGGAAAGTCACCTGCCCCTTTCTCCACTCCTCTATCAGGATTGCTGAACAGGATAGTTGCAGAATGGCCTTTGGCAAGCAGCCCCATTTAAAGTTAAAACACCACGCCTGGCCAAGAATGCAATTTAAACTCACTAATCTTGGTACTGTAGCAGAGACAACCTTAGCAAAAACTAGATTGTTAATAGTAGAAATTATGGTATTAAAGGAAAACATCTTCTTGTGAAAGTTTCATGGCCTACTTTGGAACAAGACCAAATTCACCTTCATCAAACTAAAGTCATTTTAAAGTAAAAACAAAAACCGAAGGCTTTGAGCCAAAAATTTTGCCACTGTAAAGTACAGTTTTAAGATAAAGTTGCCAGCCATGCAGGTATCTTTCAAGCCCACTAGTGATGTTAGTGACCTAATCACACACACAATGCAGATAACTTTTTCTACTGAAATTTTATGCCTTCATTAAAGTTTGTATTAGAGTTTTCCCTTTTCCCCTCATTGCCCCCACATGGGAAGTCAAAGTTAAGCGCTTAACTTTGCAATTCCTTCTGCAATCTGTTGCACGCCTTCTAGAGAAAACCAGGGTAAAATGTGGTAAACACCAAGAGCATCGCCTAATCACGCACTGTACACGTGCTCAAGTCCTTTGCAGCTGATGAAATGAATGTGCTGTTAGTAGAAGCACTCTTAAGCCACTGCCAAGGGAAACATTCTAAGAAACACAGGGCGAGTTATTAACCTGCTTTCCCTATCATCACACCAATTCTACGCAATTATCATATGCAAAACTGGGCATTTATCATCACTCTGTGGGCTCCAAACGCGATTCCCGGAGGTGTCACGCTCTCACCAGAGCTCGAGCGCGGCTCCTCTGAAGGGGCCTGGTCGCGAGCGCGCACCTGCACACGTGCGCGGAAAGGCGGGAGCTCATTCAGGCTGCGGCCCTGCTGGTTGGTTTTCAACAATACACCGTAAAAAGCCACATGCCTCAGTTGTTTACCCGGGTGGTAAGCGCCGGCACCCTCCAGGGAGGAAGGAAGTCCCTAGGGAGCTGGGGGCGGAAACCTGAAGCAGAAGGGGTGCGCCTGAAGCGAGAGGAGCCAGCGCCGACCGAGCCCGGGTCGGCGGCCCCAGCTCCCCGCCCGGGGCCGCGCACGAAGGCCTGACGCGAGGGCCGCACTCACCGAAGTCCAGGAACTGCTTCATGGAGAGCGGGGACGGCGAGAAGCGCGCGTAGAAGTCCACCTGGCCCGGAACGCCGCGTTCGGGCGCCGGCCCGGAGCCCGAGTCCGAGGTGAGGCTGCGGCTGGAGTGGGGGCCGGCGGCGCGCAGCCCCGGGCCCGGGCCGGCCGAGGCGGCTCCGCGCAGCAGCCGCACCAGCCTCATGCCGAGCCCCGCCGGAGGAGCCGGAGCCCCGGCGCCAGGTCGCGGCTGAGCGCCTGGGTCGGGCTCTACGTGAGGTACGTGGCGGGCTGCGGGGGCGGGGAGCGGCTGTCACTGCTGCGGCCACCGCCCCCTCGGTGGAGCCCGGCCTCCTGGGCCTCTGGGCTGAGAGCAGAGCGGGAGGGAGGCGGGGAGAGAGAAGGGCGGGCACAAGTGGGGACCGCCTCTCGCCGAAGTCCAGCCCCCGACGCGCGTTGCTCGGGACGCGTGCTGCTGCCGTCCCCACGCAAGTCGGGAGGCTGGACCCGGTACCCTAAGAGGCGAGGCCGCAGGGAGCGCCCCACGAGCAACCGCAACGCGTGCGGATGGCCAAGGCACCCCGGGCCGCCTCGTCCAGCCCGCAATGTGGTGCGCCCCCTTCCCACATACTTTTGGAACATCCCATCTTTCTGCTTCCTCTTCCCTCCGGGTCTCAGCCAGAAGGCTGAAGGACAGGGCTGCCCTCCGCTTGCACACACCTCCGTGTCCTGCTGCGAGCGCGTTCCAGAAACGCTCCTCTGTGATGCAAGCCACACATTTTACAGGTGAAGAAACAGACCCGGGAGCTTCAGGATCCCACCCTTGCCAAAGAGTGGTACATAAATACGAATGTTGAACACTGGAGTGTGTGGCCCTAAATGATACCACAGCGACTGCAGTCCCAGGAGAAGAAAATGGCCAGCCCAATTTGAAGCGTTCTCTGCAGGCATTCTCCCCACGGTCAGCAGTGTACTTAAAGCGTCCCTCCACTCTCCCTGCCCTTCTTTTTAACAACCTTCTTAGGGTCACAGTTTGGCGTCTCTGTCCTTCCCAGTTTTCTAAATAGTAAACATAAGACTAGACAATTTCTAATATTGGTTTAATCCCATAGGCAGAGCTGCAGTTAATACTAAAAGAATCACTTATTTCTTCCCTCCACTTCTGGCGTGTCTTACATGCAACAAAATTACCATGAGTGTGAAGTGTATGACTCATGTAATATGTATTAGGTCATTACATATGAAATGTCCGATTTTCAATCAAAAGTTTATTATAGTTCAAACAAGAAGCAGTACAGTTCATCAAAGTGTGCACCTAAACTATCAACATAGTTTTGCCATCTTAATGATGGCTTGTTTGTGCCAGCAGCGAAGCCTGGAGAGCCAGTGGTGAGAAATTGAGAAAGGTGTTTTCCACAGCTTGTTGAGAATTGAATATTTTTCCTTGCAAGAAATGGTCTTATACCTGGGCTGGGCACAGTGGCTTATACCTGTAATCCTAGCACTCTGGGAAGCTGAGGTGGGAGCATTGCTTCAGGTAAGGAGTTTGAGGCCAGACTGAGCAAGAGGCAGACCCAGTCTCTACTAAAAATAGAAAAAATTAATGGGTGTGGTGACCGGTGCCTGTAATTCCAGCTGCTCGGGAGGCTGAGGCAGGAGGATCACTTGAGCCCAGGAGTTTGAGGTTGCTGTGAGCTAGGCTAATGCCACAGCACTCTAGCCTGGGTGACAGAGTGAGACTGTGTCTGAAAAAATAAAAAAGAAGTTGAAAGCTTGGAAGAAGTGTAAGTCAGTTGGTACAAGGTCTGGTGAATATGGTGGATGACAAAGAGTTTCCAAGTCCAATCTCTAGTTTTAGCAGCATTGTTTGTGCAACATGTGGTCGAGCATTGTCTTGCAAGAGGATTGGCCTGTCTCTATTGACCAATCTCAGCTGCTTAATCGCAAGCATCTTCATCATTTCATCCAGCTGGTTGCAGTAGACATCTGCTGTAATCCATTGATCCGGTTTCATGAAGTCGTAGTGGATGATACCAGCGCTGGACCACCAAATAAACACTAGCTTTTTTTGATGAATATTCAGTTTTGGACTGTGTTTTAGCACTTCATCTTTATCCAACCATTGTGCCAAATGCTTGTGATTGTCAAAAAGAATCCATTTTTCATCGCATGTAACAACATGGTATAGAAATGGTTCACCTTTATCTTGTAACAGCAAAGAAAGGCAAGCTTCAAGATGATTTCTCTTCTGATGCTTGTTTAATTCATGCAGTACCCATCTATGCAGGTTCTTTACCTTGATGATTTTTTTCGAATGGTCTAATATTGTTCGAATAGTAATGTCAAAGCTTGCTGCTATTTCATGGGTAGGTTGAGATGGATTTGCTTCCACTATAGCTTTCAGCTCACCGTTATCCACCTTGGTCTCAGGTCACCCATGTGGCTCATTTTCAAGATTAAAATGACCAGAACAGAACTTCTCAAACTATCAGTGTGCTGTGCTTTCATTAGCCACGTCCATCACAAACACTTTGTTCATATTTCGAGCTGTCTGCACTGCATTGGTTTCACGATGGAACTTGTATTGGAAAATAACATAAATTTTTGACTTATCCATGGTTTCACAAAAATTGCTCTAAAAAAAATTTGAAAGATAATCACAAGCCAAAATGTATGTTTGAAAGACTGAGGATGTACCTTAACAATAAAAATAAAACAAAAAGTGTCAAAGTGAAGTGTCAGAGATATCAACTGTCGAACTTAGTGCTTAAGGAAATCAGACATTTTATACCTAATAACCTAATATCTAGCAGTTACTGGTCTAGAATAACACTTTGTTTCTCCATGGTGTTCAGGTCTTTGGTTGTAAAAAAAATACAAGGAATGAGATGAGAGTCATTTTTTTTTAGGCTGTATTAATTCCACAAATTGTGTTTCGCATGCAGAGGAACATTGACAACAAGGCAACAAGTGTAGGTGGTTGGGAGTGTAGGGGAGGAAAACAATTTTTTCTTCAAGCCTCATAAGTCCTTAGCTGGAACAGATCCCTATAACAAAAGACAGATTAACAAGAGAAAGACAAACAAGTTTGTTAACATGTATGTCTCATATGTATGTGGGAGATACCCAGGGAATGAGTAATTCTCAAAAAGTGGCTTTGAATTACAATTTATATAGCATCTTCACAAGGAACAGGACATTTTTAGAGAAGTGTCAAGACAAAGAAAAAAGACTTTTGAGTCTCCTTTAGAAATGGAAATTTACTGAAGAAAAACTGTTTTTAGAACTTTTCCTGTGTCTGTTGGTTTTCAGCGGCCTTTAACTCAAAATAACGCATATACCAAAGAGGCATATTTTGGGGTTGCATTGTTACTGAAAACTCAGCCACTTGTCCACAGGGCCAAATAATGAGGACAAGCGGTTTGAGGAGGAAGGAAAGAGTGAGTCTACTTTGCCAGCAAAGGAGGAAATTTGGTAGACCTTCTCATCTCAAAATCCCAAATTTTCCGAACATAGGCAGAAATACAAAGGTTTTAAAGGGAGGGTTCTCAGCTTTAGGCAATTACTGTGGTTAACTATTCTAATCCTCCCATCTCTGCCAAAAACAAAGCCTGTGAACTCTGTTAGCAATCCACCTGGGGGTGCTGGCGCAACCTGGGAGTTTTAACAGAAAACTTAACCTGCTGCAGGGATGCAGTCCAGGCTGCAGTTCCCAAAAGAGCGGGGCAAGTTTTCCAGGCCATTCCCTGTTACAGCATATTTTGGTACTCTTCAGTTCCATATTTTCAAATATTAGATAGCCTGCTTGTGAAAAAAGGATTGGGTTTGTTCTGGGTGTGGATGGAAACTGCAACGAGACAGATCTGACACAGCATGGAAAATTTTTCAATAGTTACAGCCAGTTCTCTGTGAAACAAGCAGCTTTAGAGGAGGATGGGGTTCTTGTCAATGACCTTAAGTCGAGAGTCTCCACAACAGCTTTATACGGAGGGTGCAGGGAGTACAGCCAAGCAGTGTGGTATAATGAAAAGAGCTTGGGTTCTGGTTTCAAATCCTGGCTCTGCTCTGTACTGGCTGTATGCCTTTGAGTAAGTTACTTAACTTCTCTGAGCCTCCATCTTCTTACCTAAAAAAAGAGCATAGTATCTGTCTCATTTGGTTGCTGAGACATAAGTAGTATACTGTTGGAGCCACGGGAAGAGTTCCCCCTTTCCCTCTGAAGGTTTGCTGAAAAAACAGCTTGCGAAAGGCAGATTAACTGGAGACAAGGCATATAAATCTATTTAATGTGTACATGAGAGCTTTCAGAATGAAGACCCAAAGATACAGGGGAAATTGTCCATTTGTATGCTTAGGTTTAACAAAGTATGGACAGCTGTGTGGAAATACGATTAAACAAAAAGGGTGTCTATGACCTAATGCTAATAGACTGAGTGGGGAAGCCCAGCAAGGGCTGTCTGTCCAGATTCTGCTTGGCCTCTCTGTGCAGCAATCCTTCATTCTGGGTATGGGACAGGACCCTCTCTGGAACTTGGGTGTTAGGACCTACAGTCAAACAAAGTAGGTTAGATCATTTCTTTATGGCCAGTTTTTCCACAGAAAGGTGGAGGAGGGGGACTTGGAGTAATATTCTTAGGTTTTATGGCTGGCTTTGGGGAAAAGCAATTCTGGTTTTATGACCTGCCTTGGGGAAGAGGGATTCAAGTTTCTATGGTTAGCCTCTGGGGAGAATGGGATTGAGAGACAGGAGGACAGAAGGGCAGAGAAACCCTTTTGCTTCTGAGGCTGCTTCTGAGGCCTTCATTTTGGAGTATCATTTTCTGAGTCCCCAAAATAGCTATCTGTGTTAGCACAATGTCAGGGACATATTAGACACTCCAGAAATGGCATCTATTTTTATCATTATTGCTGTTTTTTTATTATTTCCTTATTACGATTTTATCAGGACCACTAAACTACGTGTTTTTCCTGAAGTGGACTTTACCAAAGATTTGGGAGAAAACCATTTAAAATTGAATAATAATCCTTCATCCATTTCCACAACTCTATTCCAGACTCTCAAGTTGCCTTCCTCCTTTCTTCTTTCCTTCGTTCTAGATCACTTTCTGAGCTCCAAATTCTTCCACTTTGTCAAGCACAGCAGAATGCTCTCAACTCCTACTTGCAACTTTACTGCTTTCCACCTGAGCATGTCAAGGTACTCAGCTGAACATTAACCTGTGTGGAAGCACAAAGGCCCAGCAGAAACATTAAGATTCATTCTACCAAGATTTGTTTTCCCAGGAAGCAATCAAGTGTTT